TATCCTGGTATAATTTAGTATTTACAGCCCAGAAAACAAAACAAACCACAGAAGAGAGACTTTGGGAGAATCAAATTCAATTATGGGAACAAACAGGAAAAACAGTATTGAAAGACAAAACAATCTTAGCACAAGATTGTTTTGGTAAAGTCAAACATAATATTTCCCCCAAATAAATAAAATCATAGGCATAAATGGTGGTGGCAGAAGAATTTGAGAATTTGTGTATATCTAGCTATCTAAACAAAGACACTTGAAGATATATGGACAGACACTTAAACATATACATAAAATCACACATATAAAGAAATTATTTAAAGAATCTCTCCAAAACACAAAAGATTACCTAGAATTAAAGAACAAACCACTAAAACTTTTTTTTTAATAGCTGAAAAATACTATGCAGACCACATTCAGTATTTTGGGGGCTTTTGTGGCTACTTAGGAAAGACCGGAAAGAATTAAAAATCCATTTCCTTGTGATCACAAGTAAAATGAGTCCCAAGGGCTGAATCAGGCTTCTACCATGAAAGAGAAAACATGAAATGCTGAGTCAGCACAAAAATGCCGGGTCCTGACTTGCTCCTTTTGTACCTAGAGTCAGCTGAAAGGCAACTTGTGTGATTTGACAGAAACTATCCCCAAAATAAGTGAGCAATGCATCCCTACTGTAATACAGAAATAAATAGCAGAATGCCTAAAATCCAAAACAATGCTTGAAAAAAGCCCTTAATCTAAAAGAACTCATGTAGAAAAACTGGAAATGTAATTCTTACACATTGTAATAAGCAGTAAAAGCCTAAGAGAACATATCAGTTGTCTGCCTAGCCCTACAGTCCTGTAAAACAAGCACACAAGGAGAAGCCCATGGGACACTATGCTGACGTGTTGTTGCAGGGGGAGGAAGGCAGAGCAGCAGCAGCCAAACCCATGGCCAAGCTCATGACACACACTTACAGAGGGGCATCAGCCCCAACAGGGCCCTCAGTAAGTCAAAGTCTGACAGAAGACACTTGCTGGTTTTAAACCTCCTGTAATTGTTGCTCACTTTATGAGTACCAACTCAAGAAATGAAGGGTAGATGTTGGGAAGACAAGCTGAGCTATCCAGACAACCTTACGATCAGGGGACAACAATAAAAATAAATCACTGTGGCAGTGATGTTGCATGTAAGGGGGTGTTCAAACATCATTAAATCTCCATCCTTGGGGGCTTCAAAGTTGGACTAGATACCCAAAGTTTCCTTCCAATCTCCATCCTTCTCTGATCTATGGCTTATTTCATTTCTAGCCTTGTACAAACTGTATCATCGTTTAGTAACTTACATTCTTATCCATAAGATTCTTCCAAGTGGATATTTTTATAGATTATTAATAAATAATGTTTATTTGTTTACTTTCAATAAAATGAAACAATTCCTGTGTGATGAAACACATTTTCAGTTGCTGATGTCAAGCTCAGACTGTTAAAGGAAGCAGAAATTGTCTAAAGGCAACAATTGTAGTTGTCAAGTTCTTTGGGTCTATAGGTCAATAGAAACAGAATCAGTCATCACAAAAATCAGGTTATGGTGGTGGGAACAAGAAGGAATAACAACTTTCTGAATATTTTCACTGTGAGGAATATATTAGTAGGAGAAAGATCTATATTGGGAACCTCTCGGATTCATAGTCAAATATCATCAATCAATACATTATTTGAGAGCCAAACTATTCTTCTCTTCCTGTACAGTATTACCAGACATAGATATTAGCAAATACCTGCCACGCTTCTGTTCCCATGGCAGGTCCAGGATGTACAACATGCAGTAGTAGGAAAAGATTTTTGGCACGAGTTTCTGGCACAGCAACACCTTGTGCAATCATTTTGCATGTCACATTTAAGAGCTTACTGACTCAGATACTCTCTATCTTATTAGCAAAACTCTAGTTTTCATTGGATTAAAATGTTTTCACCGATTCACACACAAAGAGTGGGTTCATTGATCAGTGTGGGAGGACATTATCATCAAAAGGAGCATTGGGGCATCCAGGTGGCCATAATGTTGTCTCTGTTTCCCTTTTATTCTCCCATTTTTTTGGTATCTAAAATGTCCAGATTGCCTCCACACACACAAGAATATGCTGAAACAGACCAAAAGCCCATAGCCCAGAACAGAGTCTCCAAGCATAATATCCATCAATACCTCCTGAATATTTGATTTAAATTTTCTAGTGGATAGACTATGCTTTACAAAAAACGGATTTTTGGAACAGGGAGATGGCAGAATTTGTTTTATCCATTTTCATGCATCAACCATGTATTGCAGGAATCCTGCAGGAGATAGACTTCCAGCAGGCCACCTGTCTTTCAGGCTGAAGACCTGTAAATTAGTCACTTCTTTATGAAAGCCATGCTGTAAGCTGAACTGCATTGAGTCCAACACAGATTTCTGTGGGACTTAATCTTCACTCCTTAAAACAAACAAAAACCAAAACTAACCAAGCAAAAAAACTGGAAAAAACCCCACCCAAAATAAAAAAACAAAACTGTTCGCAACTTCTACTCAATTATTTATAAATGCAAGGAATTTCCACATTATTTCACAGTTGTTTAGGGAGCTCATCAAATAACAACACACTTCTTTATCCATATAATTATGACCTTCAAAGAACTCATATAGATTTGTAAGACACGTCATCCTTGACAAAAGCCTTGTTAACTTTCTCAACAGATCACACCCTCCCATCTGTTACTAATTCTTTCCCTTACCACAGTTTGTAGATAACATGCCTGGAAAAGATCCAAGGATTGCCAGCACACAGTTCTCTGGTTCTCTCTTGGGACTCCACTAAAAAAATGGTGCATTTGTCACCTTCTGGTACCAAAGTTGTCTCACTGATCACATATAAAATTCAGCCTTTGCATGATTTTGGTGGACCGCTGAAGTCTAGTTGCCATCTACCATTACTACTTATTTCCTATAATTGGAGTCTCACCCATCAACAAAATGTCCATTAAAGGTCATATATAGTCAAGCATTACGAAAAGAAAGGAAAGGAAAGGAAAGGAAAGGAAAGGAAAGGAAAGGAAAGGAAAGGAAAGGAAAGGAAAGGAAAGGAAAGGAAAGGAAAGGAAAGGAAAGGAAAGGAAAGGAATTTCCCCTAGACTTGAGATTTCAAACTGTATAACCTCTAATCTTGGAACTAAGTGCAATGCATTTTCTATGGCTGTGGGCTGGGCTTGGTGATAAATTCTTCAATTTTTTTTATTATTATGGAGTTTTTTTACTTCAATCTCTTACATGGTCTTCCTTCCTACACTTCATTGCAAAATTGCCTTTGGGAAAGTTTTTTACATTTGCTGTGTGAGTTGGAGAGATGCTCTGTGACATTTTTGCCATAATTTAGATTTAACTGTGCACAAAGGCATGAAGCACCTGCCAACAGTACAATACAGCCCCAGCTTCAGAAGGCAATTATCTCTGAGATTATGTCACTGATGCTTCTGTGATTCTTCTGGTTTGGATACATTTTGTCATTTCAGCATCCATATATTCAAATCAAAAAGGGTCTGCTGTTGTAGCAAAATCTATTTAAATTATTTTCATTTCTAGAATAGTCACCCACACCCATCTATAATGTCTCCTATTCAACAACTGTGACCTTCCATTTTTTCTAACACCCTTTCATAGGGAAATGGCAGAAGTCCAAAATAACTCATTGAAATGATTTAATTCTTCCCATGGAAATGAAACTTAAATGGTCCTTTTTGACCTATGGTCTACAGACTGCTGATAAGAGGGGAATAATAACTAAGTAAAACAAGCCCAGTGTCAGGCTTAAACTTATGATCAAAAGGCTTTGCATTTGCATTGCAACTTTTTGAAAGCCATCCTAAGATTCATGCTTTAGATTCAGCACTTACAATTAGGGTTGGTGAAACATTGGGCAGGACACACGGGCGTGAAGTGAATGCACAGGAGAGCCAGAGCCCTGCTTTTTCCACTGCTTTTTGCTACCATATCCTACAAACCGGCTGCAATGAAACAAACCAGCTGAAGCCAAGCTCAAGTGAAACACAAGTGAGGAGTCAGTAGCAGCCGTGGCTCCATCCCAACCCCTCTGATAGCTAGCATATCCCCTTAATTGGCTGGCCCTTCCTCTCACCAGCCAGCAGCTCACTCACAGGACAGCCCAAGAGGTGCCACCCGGAGTATTTGCACAAGGGCACAGCAGTCAGACCTGCTGTGCCACGCTGGCTTCACAGCTGCACTGAGCCATTGCCCGTAAACGTGAGCCACCTCATCAAACACTATCTAAGCCTTTGTTTGCAATTGCCTGTGCCATTATCTGCCGCTGGTGTCATAACCGTACATGTAATTAGTGAATGCACCTTGTCCCAGCAAGCATGCATCCCGGATCAAGCACAGTCCCACTTTAGAACACTGTTAGCCACCTTTGTGAGCACCATTTCTAGCTCACTCCTGGTAAAACTGCTGATAACACAATCTCCTTTAAACTGTGTGTCTTAAGACATTTGAAGACAATGCACAGCTGAAATCTGGGAAGCGTAACATTTGTAAAGCTGGGAGTGACTGAGAAAGTATGCTGCTGCCCATGGTGACTGACCCAGGGGACAGCAGCAGGAGAAACATGACAGAGCAGCGTAGCTTGAGGACTGAAAACACACTACCAGGGCTACAGCTGGGGAAACAACCTGTACACACTCCACCAACACGCGGCTTCGTACTGCCTTGTGTACGTGCGGCAGCCTGGCAAAGTCACCAATCAACTTAACTCGGAGAGCGAACGCTGTGATCCAAGAGCGTTTGTGATGGGAAAGTTTCCAAAAGCCTCCACGCTCCTGAGCGAGAGGTACTTGAGGGAGACCGGACTACCCCGCGCTGCCCGCTGCCAGCAGACACTCCGGTTTGCCGGAGCGGCTCTCTGAGCCACAGCAGCAGCAGCGGCAGGCACGGCTCCCCTGCCCCGGCCCCACCTGCCCTCGGCGGTACTCACAGCGGATGCCAGCGCTCGGGCAGGCGGCGGTGCAGCGAGATGCGATCGCTCAGGTAGATGTTGATCTGGTGCCGGCGGATGCTCTCCTCCTGGCGGCGCTTCTCGGCGGGGCTCAGCTCCAGCCTCACGGCCCGGCCCAGCTCCCCCAGCGCCCCGGGGTCCAGGGCGGGCTTGGCGTACACCGGCCGCCGCAGCAGCTCCGAGTCGGGGGACGGGGGCTGCGGCGGGGCGCGGCGGGCGGCGCGGAGGGGCGGCGAGCCGTGCCGCCACACGAGGAAGCCGAGGGCGGCCAGCAGCCCCAGGGCGAGCAGCGCGCCCTCGCCCCGGCAGCCCCGGCCCCGCTTGCCCCAGCACATCCCGCGGCCGAGGCGGCCGGCCATGCCGAGTGAGCGGCGGCTGCCGTCTCACGGACACGGGCGCGCCTCCGCCCCGGGCAGGCTCGGCGAAGTTCTCAGGACCTGCCCACGCCGCGACAGCCGCCCCGCCGGCAGCGCTGCCCCGCCAGGAAGCCCGCACGGCTCCTCCGCCGCCGGCTCCTCCCTCCTCCCCGCCCCGCCGCCGGCCAGCCCGGAGGGGCGCGGCGCGGAAGAGCCGGGCTCGGCGCTGCCGCGGGCCGGGGAGCGGTACCCCGGCACAGGGAACCCGCCCCGCTTGTCCCCCGGGCGTGTGCGCCCCTGCCGCCCGCCAGCCGCCTCCCGGGAACGATGTCCCTCGGTTTCCTGGTGCTCGGAAGGCTGCTTGTCCCCCGAGGGTTCCGGCATCCCAGGGAAGGCACACACGGAGCTCCAACCTGCTCCGCGTTCACCCTGGGTACCACAACCGGTGGAACCAGTGCTGGTGCTGACCCATCCCGGGGCAAGGAGGGAGTGGAAGCCATCCCAGTTCTGCCAGATCACACAGAGCTGGGATGCGGGGAGGAGGGAAGAAAGCATGTTGCCTTTGCTGTCACCCTTCAAGGGAAAGGTGATCTGGTTGCCTTGAAACTTCAGAGACCTTCATAAGCGCTGGTAGCTGCGTGGTGGATATGCCATTTCCCCAGCAAGGGAAAGATCTGCTGGCACTGAGCTGTCAGGGCCACAACAAGCTGCTTTGGCCTCTGGAAGTGATTGAGATAGCCCCAAGACTTGCTGTCTATGGACAGAAATTGTTAAGAGCTGCAGGACAACAAGGGAGGTTATTTCCCACAGAGGGGCTAGGAAGAGCTTATGGGTTAAAGGGAGCAAATTGATAGGAAACCAGGCTTCATCCATTCTGCTGCCTCTAGAAATAGCACGTGCTTCAGAAGTAGAGCAGAACACTGGCTAAGAAACCGTAGGTATTAATGACAAGGTTTTTGGCTGAAGAAAGGAGTGTTCTTGGTTGAAAAAAGTCAACCAATGTGGCCTCATTGAGGGAAATCCAAAATGCTAGTGAAAATCCCAAGTTTATTATACACATAATAGGCAGTTCATTCCATGGCTTGACAGAATCATGGAGGGAAAAAACAACAGCAGCACTAGTTAGAGCTTTCAGACTTGCTTCATACTCAACAAGATATCCATACTGCTTGTTTTACTTCAGCTCCTAACAGTATGAAGCACCATCTGCCGAAACTTGTGATGTGGAGACCTGAGATTACAGGAGAGCTCCTGATTTTGCATTTGAAATACTTCAGCATAAATGTAACATGACTGGATACAGTTTCTCTCTCACTAGCAGCAGGGAACTGGAACTGGTTTCGAGGCGTCATTTGCTCCATGCATTTTCCATGTTCACTGCAACATCCTCTGCTGTTGGAGGCCTGTCAAGATCAGCCCAGCAGAGGAGTTTGGTCATGCCCAGAGAGAGAACTTCAGTACACAGCACTGGGCGGTGCTCACCAGCACTACTGAGGAGAGAGTGAAACTAACACTAAGGAAGGGAAAAAATAAAAATGTCACCACTATCAGGGTCAGAGCATACAGCTATGAGCTCTTTCTGACTTTACATGATAATAAATATTGTATGTGACAACAAATGCAGACTCAACTACTGTGGGGGCCATGCTCTGGACAGAAGGGTGCTGAAAACCAGTGACTGATTCTGATTGTGGCAAGCTAGTATAAATCAAGGCATTTAGGTGGATTTGCAATGAATATGTCTATGGACAGATTATTTCTTATGCAGCTATACAGCTAGCTATCACAGGAAATTATATAGGCATAAATCTAGTTTCAATATGCTTTGTACTAAACTACTAAATATCAATATGTTGGACATGAGAATTTACATTGCATATAAAGGATGTTGTGTCTAGCAAACTTTGGGTCTGAAGACAAAACAAAAAGACCCCAAGAAAAAAAAAACAGAGAGTTCTGCTGCAGAGGTTCTTAAATATTATAAAAATCTGTATTTTATATAAATAAATATAGCAGCAATATGGAAGAAGCAATATGGAAGAAGCACAAGAACATCATCACATGACCAAAACAAGTTCTGAAACAAAAAAATGGGAAACAGAGAACCAAAAATTACAGAACTGCTCTCAGCAGTAATAATGCTCTTATGGCAAAGTAATGGGTGAAGATTTTCTGTGATGATCATTGCAGTGGGAATTGAAGTATTGCCAGTAAATAGGAGTTCCCTGGGGATCACATCCAAACACATCAACCAGAGGAAATTCATCAAGAGAAAGTACAGGAATGAGGCTAATGCAAAAATCATAAAGACTCAATTATTTGCATTCACAAAGAAGTTTGTACAAGATGTAAAGAATATGAAGGTAAAAACATGCTTTGTCAAACTTTTTCAAACATTTTTGGGATGTAAATGTGATGGGAAGACTGAACATTCTGGGCTGAAATAGTTAAGGTGTAAAGAATTATCTCTGAACATAAAAATAGGGCCCAGCAGGAAAAAAAAAAAAATCTGCAATCAACAAGGCAAATGAATGAGTTTACTGCTAGCCATAAAACTTGTAGCAAAATTTTCATGGAAGAGTTCCTTTTAAGCCATTCTCTTGTTTCTTTCAGGTTGGATAACAATGGAAGTTAAAATAATTTGTTATGACTTTTTAGTGTTTAGTGAGTTATAATTTCAAGTGCTTCAGGAGTTTCAAGCAAAGATAAGTAGAGTAACCAAACAAGTCATATAAAAGCTCTAATTACTTATCTAGAAATATTTATTGTGTCCTTAGTTGTCCAAATTAAATCAGAAGATCAATAGAATAATTAATGGCTGTTAAAAGTTTATTTTTAAAAACAGAAAAATTTTTCTTCTCCTCAAAAAGTATCCAAAATATTAACTAAACCTTTCAAAAAGCACTAAGAGAAAAAGACTAATGACAACAATATGCAATTGTCCACAAGAATTTACATAATAGTTAATGTAATAACTGAAATTAAGGATGTATCTCTTGCTCTCTGAAATATGTTTGAAATACAGGTAATATTTAGTTCACCTAAAATACATGAGCTTATTGAAGGACTATGTTTACATATAGGGAATCCCTAAAGAGGTAAGATATGATGAACTATTTAACACCTGTATAGTTATTAAAAGGTATTCTTATTTTTAGTGATGATATATACGTTACAGAAAAAACAGAGCTATTAAATTTGCCAAATATTTAAAATTCACCTCATAGAAACTTTTCCTTCTTTTTTCTTTTGTGTGTAGAAAGCAAAAATGTCAAATAGAAATAGAGTGGGAAGACTGCATTTTCAATAAGTTAAACAGCTTCCTAAATTCACACTTCCAGGTAAAAATAAAGTCTCAAATAGTGTATTTCAGAATAAAGTTCCTAGTTCTAGAAAAAGCCAAAGCTTACATATTCTAAAGAAAAAAAATCAGAAGAATATGATATGAACCATCATGTACAAATACTTTGGACACAGATAGGAAATTTGCTTAAGGAGAGGAAGAATCATCCAAGCTATAAAACATACTCCCTGGAGATAGCATAGGACCTATGGGGTCATTGTTCACCATTGTTTTAACTGTGCACAAAAACTGCACTGCCCTGTAGACCTCCCCAGTTCTCACATTGGCTGCTCTTTCTCTCCTTTATTAGCACAAATATTTTTAAAATATTATTATTCAGCCTATTGCACTACCACTGCCAAGGATTTTTTTTGTTTAAATAAATGTGTTTGGATTGAAAGTCTCTTTATTTGAGACAGCTGCACAGCACATGCAAAACACGAAATGAGCCGCACCCTGTTTCCCCGGGGCCAAAGGGTCCTCGGTGCTTCAGCAGGAACCCTGTTTTACAGGGATGCTTTGGGTCAAGAGGGAAGCTGGGTGTATAGTGTAGAGGCAGAGAGATCAAGGAGTTGAGAGGAAGAACCCCAAAAATAAAACAGAATAAAACCACAGACTTGATGGCTGAGATAGAAACTGTTGCCTATCTTCTATCAGGCTGATGAATGCTGTGAAATTCTCCTAGTGACAGGTGAATAAGATGAGGCAGCATTCAGTGGATTACTTGGGCAAGACCTCAGCTGCACCAGTTTGCAGATCTCTGTAGAACATGTATGTGCACCCATAGATAAACTACACACACAAAATGCCTGCTCAAAAGGTCACATACAAGCCAGGATGGACAGACAGACAGAGTCAGAACATGCATGTCAAAGACACCAATCAATATATTTGCTTGCTGTAGGTAGGTATTGCTTCCATATAATTTTGCTCTTAAACTAAATAGAAGCATGAACTGCAGGCAGTGGAGATAAGGTACATAAAGGAAACCTACGCCAGGAAGCTTAGCTGTCAGAAAGTATTGGAACAAAACTGCAGTTCTGCTCACAAAGTATGGTATGATGTTAAGGAAGATATGTTATGTTGGAAACCTGACTAATTTTTCAGAATTTCATGCAGACACAATGAATTAAAATACTGAGTTGCAAATACTTTTTGAAAGTTTGTCAAAATTATGGCATATTCTGAAACAATGAAGTAAATTCCTCATAAAGGTAACGCAGCTGGTCATAGTAGACAAAGAGAAAACCATGATTAAAATTCTGAACCAAGAAGTCAAGCAGATAGTATGTTGTGAAATTAATCTATGTCACTCTACACTGTAGCTACTTACTACCATTTGGTTTTTAGTAATTTTTTCAAGGTTGTTTCTGTTTCTATGCCTGAAAGGACCACAGTAAACATACATAAGTCCAGTGATACTGGGGAAGCATTTCCTTTTCTCTGATGGTATTTCTAATATATGTCTTCCTTTCCATTAAGACAGACATAAGTGTCTTCACACAAAAGACATACTTAAAAATTCAGTTTTCTTTTTCTCAGAAGTATGACTTTCTTGTGATTCACATCAGTAAGATTTTACAGTAGAAAATAAGTATTTTACCTCTTAAATTGACATGAAAAAAGCCATCATACTTGGGGATTTGAGATGCCACCATCC